GTTGCAACCGGGGGGGGGGGGGCGTGCCACAATGTGTGCCCCCCCCCCCCCCCACAAAATTAGTCCAAACCAAAAAAAGATCTCCTGATACTACCCAAGGACAGTGAGGATGGATATCATGCCTGAATCTGAAACAAGAGGAACGAACACAGGACTGGAAATCAGTAGACCATATTTTGACATTGACACCAGGTAGAACAGGTAGGTTGAAAAAAAAGAACTTCACTATTAGGTCTGACACCTCCATCGTCAGTGTAAGACTGAGGATCAACATGGCAGCACTGGTCCTTCATCACCTTGATCATCAGCCAAGTTTCTGGCAAACGAGGTCAAAGATGGACCCATTACAAGCTCCGTCAACTTTAGGAAAGTTGAAAACACTGCTTGGAATGTGAGACTTGCATTCCTGTGGTTTCTTCCATGCCTCCCATTTCCTTTTCTTTTTTCTACCTTGTTACATTTCTTTCCTTTCTTCCTCTTTCTACCTTAAGGAAAAGCAGGTTCAGCCTAGCAAGACTATATTGTTTTCAATATTGCTGTGAATGCTTGACAAAAATCAGCTACAAGAAATGACTTAAGCAGCCAGTACAACTTTGCCAGGTGCTGAAGTGCCTGTCTTTCTCCAGGAATGAGGCTGCAAGTATGGCTCAGAACTAAAAGCCCAAAACAGCATTTTCTGTCTGCTGTTCTTTTCTTCATCCTTTTTTGTGTGCATTTACCTTGTTGTTTGGTTCCAACAACAATAGTTCCAGTCCCTCAACAAACTTTTCCTCCTTTTCCCAAAAAGGCCATTATTACCACCTTCAATACCATCTGAAAGATATCAAGCAGGGAATATTTTTTTTCTTTTATGAATATTCTACCAAGAAAGGGAAAGGAAATAAGACAGATTGTTAAAGTGAAAGTTTTATTACTTTACATTTCAAATGTTTTTCACTGTTCTGCTTTAAAAAAAAAAATCAATAACACTTTTTTAATGGTGATGGCTTACCATGGCACAAAGCAGGTCATGGTCTCTGCACTTGAAAGAAAGTGTTTAATGATGTACAGTCACTGTGTGCTGTTAACACTTCAGGTTTTCCAGGCCCATTTCTTTCATCAACTCTAATACAACAGAGTACACTTCTCTGTTCCTCAGTATTATCACTGTGGGTGGGTTATGGTTATGATTTGAAATGCCAGTGTCCTCACTAATACTAGCACCACCAGTATGGAATCTGATTATTTAACAGAAGCTGAGGTGGACAGGGCAAAACTGCTATACTCCAAACTCAGCCAAGGACAGAGGATATGTGGGGGCCAGAGGACACCAAGGCAAACATTAAGAAGTATGGCAATGACACCTCAAATTTGGGAAAAAAACTAGGTTGGGACAAGGCTACATGGTGGTGCTTTGCAAGAGAAAGTACATCTTACTTTGAGGAAAACTGTCTCGCCCTGGAGGCAGAAAAACGACAGGATGGAAGGAAATGAAACAAGACCAAGAAATCTATGATCTGACCCTCCCTTTAACCACTACCTGTAGCACTTGCCAGAGAGTCTATGGCTCTAGGATCAGCCTTCTTAGCCATCAGTGGACTCATTTATAACCCTTTACTTGATTTGTGGGGGTGACTGTGCAGGATCACCACTGCCACCGCCACTCATTTTGAAAGTCATTTCAAAATTATACTGATACCTTCTAGGACAATATCTAACGTTCTGTCCCCTAGGTTTTTTGCAGTGCTTTGTGCTTTCAATCCAGTATAGAAATGTCAGTTGGTGCATTTCACTATTTGTCGTGCTGAAGAACAACTCTGTGCATTTAGCCTGATTCTCAAGATAATCTTCTGGAATTGTGGAAAGCTGACAATTAATTCTCAGAACTGATTATGGGTGGGGTGTGTTTTATCCTTTCAACTGAGTGAGTGAAAGAGGGTCTGAGAAAAGCAACAAACACAAGAAAAGACCAATGGAGTATATATTGCATCATCATCTCTTTTCCCCCGTAGGAGATGTGGGTTCAAGGCCTCAAGCCCTCTCAGGCCGAGAATGGAACCCACATGAGTCTCCCACATCTTGTGGGAGGGTTCTTCATTTCCCTGTTTGTTAACAAAAATAGAACTCCTGAACCAAAACATTTCATTTCCAGGCAAATAGAACATTTCCTTGAGTTATTTTTCCCTGAAACCCATGTGTGCTCTTGACCCTTTTTTATACTTAGAGAGAAGGGGCTAAGCATTTACATCGCTCTGTTGGATGCTCTGAGATTTAGGACACTCAACAATCGGAGCTTTGGAGACAAGTCAGTGCTGTCCCAGCAAAAATTAATTTATATTCAGTTTTGCAGTATACTTCATGTTCGTATTATAAATCGGTAAAACACATTGGGAAAAGCTGCACTAGTCAACTATGCCTCCGAAAACATGTAGTGCATCTTAGACATGGGGTCAACTTCAGGGGGATGCTAAAGCTACATGATGCTTATTGTGTAGCTGGTTTCTTCTTCTATATGACATGATTTTCATGTGGTTTGCTCCCTTCTGTGCAATGGAAGGGAGTCCATGGCTTTCAGATTTTGAAGACATATCAGACAGTAATTATTCAGAGATGGGAATGTCCATCTGCAACCTCTGAGGTTGGGAGGCAAGCATGTCTTATGTTACTTTTTTGTCTCTCTAGAAAGGTTTTTTGAAGACCATGAAAATGTTGTTGAAGTCTTATCAGACTGGACCCGGGACAGTGAAAATAAAATACTGTTTTTGGAAAAAAGTGAAAAATACGCAGTGTTTAAAAATCCCCAGGTAAGGGAACACAATGTTTGTAAAACAATCTAAAATGCTGTGGTTTGTCTGTACCATGTTTTATCTGCTTGTCAAGTTCATGGTTAGAAAACGCAAACTTGCAGTTTCAGGAACAAAGCACAAAAGAATTTTAGTTTTGCTTCCTCTCGCCTTCCATCTGCAAGGTTCCTCTTTATCTTGGTCTACACTGGCAAAGTACCCCACTGGGGTAGTTCCACTGCTGAAATCTGTTTGGTAAATGCAGAGCTCAGAGCCATGGTTAGATGACCAGTTGTAAAAACATGAGTTTTGTCCTACAGCTTCCTTCATCACTACCACTGATGGACCCAAAAGCTCTGCTTGTGTCCCATTGTGACCAGTGTTATATGCAGCTTTAGGAACAATGCTGCATCCTAAGAAGAGAGTTTATATATTCCACTAGCCCTCTGTCACTATTAACTTTATAAATGAGGACCTCATCACTAAAATGTGTATGATATAAGCTTCCATGCAAAGTCCTGTCACTAGTATCTTAAGTGGCAGAAATCACAGAAACAAAGACCCAAAGATATACAGATGATGAATCCCAGGGAGTCCTGGTGTCTATCTGTGTCAGCATCCATTATCCTCTTGAGCATCTGGTTTGATCTTGAGCCCAGCAATTGGAAAACGTAGTCCCTGTTGCCAAAAACAGTCAAATGCATAATCTTGCACCACTCTCATTTTAGGACATCTCTCTCAAATAAGCCAATGCCTCAAGTGAAACCTGCAAAAAGGAATCCTCCTTCAGTCATGTAGTCAGTGATCACAGGAGGGGAACAAAAGCTTTTAGTGCAGTGAGCATGGACTGATGGTTGATTTTTAATATTAAACAATGTAACAAAGTTTGAAAGCAAACAGTACAGGATGGCTGGAGCTGCCATGCTTTCTAGATGTGTTGAAATTTGCCTAGTTACTAGGATTGTACGTTTGAATCCTGCACCAAAGATGTGATTCTAGGTGGCATGGAACAGTCCAGTGAGCAGCACGTTTCCCAATACCATCACTAGGGGATGGGCAAGCAGGGCATTAGCCCTGTGCACCACTTAAGAGTGTCAGCATGGTGGTCCCTGGGGAATCTGCACAGTGGCAGCAGCAGGAACAGCTGCCAGTATGCAGAGAGCCTAGCAAAGGTCTTTAGAAATAAACAGTGTGTGAGACAAAAGCAGAGCAATCAGTAATTCTGTCTTAATACTCTTTCAGGACAGATATCTATTTTAGGCTTGATCCCAAAAGGTGCAGGACACCTGCAGTTTTCACACTTCAGCAGGGGATCAGTATCTGTGGATCAACTGTGGAGTTAATGGTATATATAGAAACTGGTTTCCTCAAGGTGGTATGATGGTCCTTTCTGCAACATATGTTATCAGGCAAACCAGCACTTACGTAATCTCCGCTACTAAGGTGTACTTATGACTACTAGATAATGGCCCTCTTTCCCAAACTGTAGTTCTAAATATGCTTGCTGCAGATGTACAAAAATCTTTGGTTCAAACCTTATCTGGATCACAGCATAGATCTCTACCACTTAAACAAAGGAGAAGCTCTGTTAGCTAGTACTAGCAATAGACCCTTATCTCCTTGTAGTGGCTGGTCCCCAGAGGATATGACATATTTCATGTGTTTGTAAACCACCTCCTACAATCATTTGTGAAACATGCCTCTAGAACTCTCAAGATCAATTGGGATTACAGATGTGGGGGGGAGAGGGACTGACCTTTATACATTTGCCAAGCATGTACTGTCCCACTAATCTTTGTAGCCATGTTCAAAAGCCAGTAAGTCGCACCAGACAAGTCCTCTCTAATATTATATATATTTAAAAAACACTTGCAAAAGAGTACTTTCATCTTCAAAATGCAAAAATGTCTTGTTTTGCATGTAGACATGTATATCATCACACCCTTTGTGATATAATTTACTGTGCCAGAGAAATGGCATTAAAAGTCTGTTCCATGGATCTGCAGCAGTGACTAGAAGGTAACAAGTCTGTGACTAAAGAGGGGAAGACTAATACATATTGGTATGCATACACACATAGAAGAAAACCTTCCCAACACTTTAATGCAGTGATTGCATTGATGCGGTGATGTTGTGGTGACCTTTTGAAAAAGAAAGGTGATTTGTTTCTTGACACCTATATTCAAAGGGCTTGGAAAACTGTTACAACTTGAGGAAGTTTGTAATAAGAAATTAAAAAAAGGAAGTACTTTGTTTCATTTGGGTTAGTTCATTCCCCAGGAACAGCTGAATCTGAACTCCTGAACCCAAAAGTTTTTTCTGTTGTTTTTAAAATGTTCTAATTTTGGTTCTTCTCTTGCACAGATTTTGGTTTCCTGACTTGCATTTTTTTGGCACAAATGAGAGAAATTAAAGCCCTGAGGGTCACATCATGAACATTTTCTTTATATCTTTAGTAAAAATTATTTAGCAGTATTTGCATAAAATTGGTGAAATTTCAGATAGGGGCTGCTCTGTTTTAATTCTGCCATTGGTAAATCAGGAGGAAAAGCTACAGCTAAGAGCCTCACAATTGAATGCCTCTATCATGAATATAAAGACTTCTGTTTCTATCCAAGATCTGATGTTTGAGGGTCTAAGCAAGCAGAAGAATACAAAAACTCTTGATAAAATTAAGAGGTTCTGGAAAAATTCCAAACATTTAATTTTGTAGAACCACTATGAAAAATTCTGCTTGACTCTTTATTTTGTAATAAGTAGTGTTGGGTTAGAATAGACAATAGAATTTAGGTAAGGGAAACTAAGACCCTTGGCTGATGTTCAGTTAAAGGCCTTAATGGAATTTGATCCACAGTCCCAACGATCATGGTTCGTGCTGTGCTACATGAACACGGCAGGAAGCACAACTGTGGGATGGGGGATCAGATCCCAATTATACCATATTGCCAGTTCAGGGAAGTCTGGGATCATGATCTCGGGCTCCCCTTAAACTGGCAAGAAGCAAGCCAGTCAGCTGATCAGGGCTTCCAGACTCAGGAGCACTTTGGGGTCAAAGTAGGGTTACCATATTTTTCAGCTTCAAAAGAGAGGACACTGAGGAGGGGGAAGGGGTATATGATTGTAGGGGGGCAGGGATATGCCCATGTCCTGCCCCTGCCCCTCACTCCCAAGCCACAGCTCCCCCCACCATCCCTGCTGCTACCTCTCACTCTTGATCCACAGTACCCTGCCCCCCAAGACCATGCTGGTGCCCCTCACTCCCAACCTGCAGCCCTGTCCCTGATAATACCCCTCACTCCTGACCCACAGCCCCCTGTCCCCACCCAGCCCTGCCAGTGCCCCTCACTCCCGACCCACAACCTCCAGCTGTCCTCCCCACCCCCACCCAATACAGCCCCAGTACCAGCAGGCATGCACACGTGTGCACGCACACACGCATGCACATGCACACACACACACACAGAGAACTGCCTGCAGCTGCTAGGCCTGCACACAGAGCATGTGATGCCCTGCCTTCAATCACCTTCTCCTGCTGCCCCCAGCATCAATCAGCTCCTTGCTGGGGTAGAGGCAGAGCAAAATCCTGGGCATATGCTGATATTTTTAAAAACCACTCAGACCAAAATGGGAGGACCCAAAAAGAAGACATGACTAGGAAAACCTGGACGTATGGTAACCCTAAGTCATAGGTTCCTATGTGTTCCCAAGGCTGGGAGCCCATCAGCTGATACCTGGCCACATGTTCAATTTTAGATGTAATGGGTACCAGCCACAAAATATTATACATATTTTATGGAATAACATTGTGTTTTATTATGTGTTTTATTGCATCATTAACTGCATGAACACATGACCAGATTACTACTTAAGACAACATTAACTAGTTTAGTTCTTCTTAAATAAATGTAAGGTGTGCCAGGAGCCTAAATTTAAAATCCAATCAGTTAGCTAACTTTTATAATAGTTTCATCTAATACTCTCTGCTAACACTTATAGCTTTGCAATCACATTTTTTTTTAAATAATTGTTTTTCACTCCTCTCCAACTGTGGAAGATGCATACAAACAATACAGGGAAAGGAGTGAAACTGACTGTAAGCACAGTGCTGACAAATGTGCAGAGAAACTGAAAATAGACTAGAGGAGTTTTTTCTGAGTTTTTTTTCTTTTGAAGCGTTCTCTATTTTTTGTAACTCTTAGTTACTGTTATCAGATCATATGTTAATGAATCTCTTACACTTAGCCCTCTATTACCATGTTCACCGAACATAGCAAAGCAATTTTTCTTCCTCTTAAGTGGAAGAGGAAGTGTGGTGCCTCTGTCTAACGGTATGATTTTGTTATAGCTCAGTTTCCTGAGCTGCTTTGCATCTTCCTCCTCCATATTTACAGTTGTGATTTTCTAAGTGGCAGAGATCAGGCAGACGCATGTTGATGTAGGGGTGGGAAAGAGTACCAGCTGTAGTGCAGGGCGTTCTTCAGTATATGGTCAAGATGGCTACTAGACATAGCTGCTGACAAACAAAGCTTTGCTCAGCATTCTTCTGTTTTAATTCAGTTTTGTCTACAGTTTAAATTTTCTTTAACTCTCCTAAAATGTTCCATTTTAACAGGGTTTTTTGTTTTTAACTACTTATGATTTTGGCCATCTTTTGACCTGCTTTCTGACAAAGAATATAATTTGGAAACTTTGGCCAGAAACAATCAGTCTTTTTCAAATGAATAAAGTCATATAGGGGAACACCATACAAAAACATACTTTTGTCAGTATAAAAATAATGTTGCAGCCTTTTTTTGAACAACTGCAGTATTGTTGATATATTTGGTACAAAAACAATCCCTAGGATAGTGTGGAGCCATGCTGTGGAATGGAAGACACCTGTTTAGAGTTGGCTAAATTATATTGGTTTTTGGGTTAACTTTAAAAGCGTAACTGCATGCATAACAATCAAAGATTCCTCAATTTTCTATTGCCAAAGCATACAAATAATTTCTTGTTTCATTCATATTGGCTGGGGGGTTAACCACTTCTGGCCTTGGATTTGTGTAACTAGTAGAGTATGGTGCCATTTTTGAGGTCATGGACAAGTATGAGTAGAAGATCATCTGCAGGTGGTTCTTTAGAATCTCACTTCATTTTATTCTGTGTTTAAAGCTTTTAATCTATGCACTTTCATTGGTGGGCAATTTTGTGCAAAATGTAGAACCAATTCCATCATATAGATGCTCTCTTTATAGTCTTACACACATACGCACACACACCCCCACAGAAGGTGCAAAAAGAAGCACTTGAATGTTAAGGAGGAAAACAAAACCAAAATGAACATTGCCTGCAAAACTGAACACTGCCCCCTTGTGTATGTGTCTTACGATGCAACCTGGAATTATGGCCACATTCTCTTTTTTTTCTGCAGGAGCCTTGCTGCCTTCAGCAGTGTGAATGGGCAGCATGTAGCAAATGAGGCAGTGATCCTCAGAATCTTTGCCTCATTCAGTTCACAGTCTGGATGGTGGATAGTTAATGAGGGATAGGTCTATTCATTGAACAAAGAATATAAAGAACAGTAAGGAGTGGCTGCATCATTTACTGCACACTGTCTGTCCTGTGCAGTGATGGATGCTGGGGTCTTGTGGAAGAATACTTTATAATCATGTAATGAAAAAAATGGTATGCACATACATACCAAACCCAAACTGAAGACACTCTAATAACCTCTGCCCTGCCATTTACTGATTTGAGAGCGTCACTTTGCAGCTGTAATAGACCTTTAATATATATTTTGGTGAAACTATATATTCCAATGAGGAAAAAATTGCACTGCAAACACCTGTTTGTTACTGTGAATTGACAAGGGGCTGCTGGATTCCCATTGTGGGTGCAAGAAATGAAAAGCATTTATTGTGATTTTTTTTTTTTTTAAACAAATGCCAACCGATGTCAACACTGACTTTAGGAATTTACAGCACAACACCTGGTTGTTTCTGCTATGTTCAAAGTTCAGTTTGTTTCCACAGCACTGTCTTCATTTTCTACAATAACTTAAGCCAGTGGTACTTATACACAAGAGAAAGTAATCGGTTACACAGTTTCTCCCTCAGCGCCCTCAGAGGAAACCTTGAAAGCATGGGAAGGTGTCTGCACAGCCCATGCAACTTTGAAAATCACAAATACAAAGCACAAAATGAAGCTAAACTGACTGGAGAACGCCTTTGAGAATTACTTCTACATGGTGTGAGGCAAGTTGCATCCTTTGCTAGTTCTGCTGCTGCACAGCCTGGCATGAGAAGCAGACATGGCATCCCAGTTCTCTGCTCACATAGCATCCTTTAGAGGTGAGCTGTTTTGGAGCCTAGCAAAGCAGAATGGGAGATGCAGCTGGCTCTTCGTAAACCTCCCTCCTGAGTTCTGCATGAGCACAGCAGAGGATTCAGTCCCAATAGTTACAGACAAGGTGAAACAAAAATAAAATCCTTTAAAAAAAAGAAAAATAAGCCACTGGAAATTCCAGTGCTGCCAGTTTGGTTTGTTTGAATACTGTACTACTTTTAATTTTCCTTTCTTGTGTTATCATCCCAAGAGAATCAACCCATCTGGCAAGTAACCTCAATTCCCTACCGCAAACAGACACGTCCTCCTTTGGACATAAAGAAATATTCAAGCTTGGAACGTGTGTGTATACAGGTCTCCAGCCTTTGTAGCTTGTCTTCACAGTAATGGCCCAACATCCCCATGCCTGACACTTCTTCAGAAAGGAAACAGTACCTTTTAAGGTGACCTGTGACTAGTGAACTTGTGGACATATGTGGTTGCCTGGTACACAATGAATGCTGTTTTGATCAACAGGACAAGACTGCACAATGATAAAGTCAGTACAGTATGTGGTCTCTTTCCTGAGGCCTAAGTTACTGAAGGATAATACCTGTCATGTCCTGTCAGATTTCAGGGAGATGGGGAAAAAACAGGAAATAAACAATAATACATTAAATGAATGCTGACAAGTGAAAAATGAAACAACAGGCTTGTATGACTTAGATTTAAATGACAAAACCCTGCTTCACTGATAAAAAGCAGCCTTGTTAGTGATCCAGCTAGGCTGTCTCTATTAAAGTTCTCGCTTTACCATGGACTGTGTCAACACAGGGTGGTCCTTTTTTTTCCCCTCCTAAATAAATGCCAGATGCTCCAACACAAACCACTCATAAACTGAGAACCTTTCTTTTCTTAAGGACATCATCAGTCTGCATTGGTGGCTGTCATGGCCAGATCGAGATAGTCCACACCCATCTGTCACTTTATGAACCAATTCTTGGTGATGCAGCATTGATAAGGACCACTCCAGCTAACATCTTTTACTGGGTTAGTGGGGTTCTGCCACTGCTCCATTTGAGGCAAGCCCAGGTGATTTCAGCCTACCCATATGCTATCTTGATGTGGAAGAGAGTTCATCTCAGAGCCCAAGCAGCTGAGCAAAGTCCTACCAGGGCTTGTGTTGCTAAATTCTTTATGCATGTTGGAAAATTCCACCCACCTCAAGTGCACCAACTTCTGTGTAGCATCAGGCCAGGAGAGCCACGAGACAACATGTCAGCAGGGTTCAGAGCAGTAGGTTTCAGGATATCAGCTGCATGGAAATGAAGTGGCTACTTAGTCCTTTCCAAACCACTGTTTTAGGCTGTCAATAGACTTGGTAGGCATCACGAATGGACGTTTTAGCCACTTTAAAAAGGGGATGGAGAGCTGCTGCTGCTGCTGCTGGGAGTGTTACATCTCCATGATCCTGTTGCATTTAAAGTTGGAGTGGTTTTGCTATACTTGTGTCTCTATAGGGTCATGAAAATGCAACAGGCACCAGGCTTGCCCATTTGGCATATTGTGCATTTTAAAATGATCTTTATTTAAAAAATTATTTCTAAAGCTCCACTGAAAAACAGTGTCATGAGCCGTGCGCTCCTACTGTACAAAATGCCACTTGAAAAAGGAGCTGTGGTTACATTGGCAAACCGGGTTCCTCTGCTGATAAACTGCTTGCTGCTGGTGTTGCAATATGGGAAAGTAATCTCTGAGATTGCATGTGCAGATGGAGAGTTTAACCACTGCATGTTCCTCCTGTCACTGGCAAATTTCTTGTTTCATTTCAGATCCAGGCTACCTTTGGGTCTTTTCTGATTTCTGGGACCAATCTGCATGGAAGTTCCAGTTTTCCAGCACATACCCATCCCAAAGTTAATAGGGGATTGTGTACATTAATATATGCAGCTTTTCCTCCTCCCTCCCCTCACTCAGTTTTTAAACTAATTGGGAATGGAAAGTTTTAACCATGTGGGCCACATGAATTTTACACTGGGAAAATGGAGTGTGAACCCTAGGGTAAGACAGCTACAGTAAAGACCACCTGTAATAAGTTTTTGAGAACAATCCTTGGACACCTACTTCTCATATCTGCTAGCTTGGTTGCAGAGTTCAGAAAAGCTGAACAACATTACTGAGTGTGTTTGTAGCAAACTGTTAATTTATATTCAACATCAACTTATTTTGTTTTTGTAATCAGAATTTCTACCTGGCAAACAAGGGGAAAAATGAAACGAAAGAAATGAATGAGAAAAACAAAGAGGCTTTGCTGGAGGTAAGCCAACTTGGTGGTGCAAGTGTTGATGAAGCAGACTGCCACCAACCACTTCTGCTTTAGAATAGCAGCATGTAGCTTTATGTGCAAACGGGTAACAACAGGAAGTTCTACAATGAGAGTCGTTATATTATCAGCTTTGTTTTTAAGCCACGTAAAACACCCTGCTGCTCAGCATGGTGAACATAGTTTTCACGCAGTGTTTTGAGAACAAAGAGCCAAATTATTCCATTTTTTCTGTTAGCCTGAAATCCTGTAAGTGTATATGCATAGTCTGAGCTTCACTGTAATGGAAAAGGCATGGAACTATCTGCAGTCGTACAGGTTAGGAGTGTGCTTCACTATTTGTAGGACTAGAGCCTTAGCATAAACTTACTTTTCTCAGAGCCCTCTAAAAAGGTACTTGCCATCAAAATTCATCTTAGCTCTGAAGTTATCAGCCTATGTCCAGATTCTACCAATATTATCATCCTGTTCGCAAGTGTGCAAGTTTGGATTCATTTACAATATCACACACAGACCAAGTCAATGTCACTTCTCCTTGGTTTAAACACAATGTACAAGTAACTTGTAATTAAATATTTAAGGGACTGCACCACTCAAGATCAGTGAGGAATAAATGGATCTAGCTAGATCCAGGCAGATCATAATAAGCATTTGCTTTCTCACAAATCTGCCTACTGGGCAAAACCAATACTCTACAATGCTCTTGAGCCAGCCTGGAGAATCATCTTGCCCTTTTATTACTAGTAAAATTGATTAATAGTAAAACTATTATCTTCTATTCTTTCTAATTAGAAGTAGATATGTAGCTTCTCCACCGAGTCTTGTCTATGCCTAGTTATTATCTGAGCTAGCTCTGCAACTAACAAGTAACCTCTGTATTTGTTTTTAGAAAGCCTGTTTTGTCTTTTTTGGCCTTTGCTGCTAAAACTCCAGTATAGCAATCTATCCGGAAAGACAGTATTCCAGCAAATTAATAATTATTGCAGTATTAAGGGAATGAATAAAACCTTGTATTTCTTCTGGGCAAGCATTTTAATTTTGATACATGTACAGGAGGAGAATAACCAATAATAGAATACCTGGAGAATCTTGCTTCAAAATTAGTACATCATCATGAAGGCACCTAATATTAGCAAAGAAGTCTGGTTGTAGTACCTTTTAAATGTAAAAATTAAAATGAAAGTATTTTGACATTAAAGATGATGTAATAGGAGCTCCTTTAAGACAATGGAATACATTCACAAACACTGTTGTGAATGCTAGTGCAAATTTTAAGAATAATTATTAATAGAAATTTATCTGAATCTTTGTTTTTTATTTTAGGGTTCTTAGTGTCTTTTAGGGGCAGTTTTTATGACATTAAGTATTTCCCTGCACCGCCTTTAGTTGCATTAGGAGTTGTAAAACCAGAATGTTTAACAGTGCTAACAGTGGTCCTCTCTGGACATGTTTGCTCTGGTTAAAATCTTGATTAAATTATTGCCTACCTCTCACATTCACTCTTATAGTAAGTTCTGTTTCTGGTCACTGGACTTGGCTAGGGGCGACCCAA